GCTAGTTTGCTCATTCATTAGTTGCTGCTGTGTAGTATAAGACCCCTGTCATCTTCTAGTAAGAATACTATACTCTCTGCCACTGTGTATTTTAGCCGTAAGTCGCAATTTATACCTGTATAAGAAATAAAGAAAAAATCTATAGTGTGTGTTTGTTGTTGTTTATACAAATAAATAGTTATTCTTTGTCTACAAATCAGTTAATGCTGTCAATCTGTGACGCTCTTCAGTACTCATATCCACTGATTTCACTCCACTTCAGAGCCATATCATCGGAGAGAGATTTTTTGCTAAACCTATGGCAAAACAAAATAGTTAATGTTTATACAAGTTATCTTACATTTGCCTATGGTTTTGTGTAGCTCAGATAGAAGAAACATGGCTTAAGCGAACCCTCAGTGACCCACTAAAGTCTCCTTTTCAACCAGTCAACCATGCTGCACCCACGTGTAATTTACTGTACACCGTTTTTTCATATAAATGGTAATATAACAGAACCTTCTTGTTTTTTAATCGTTTAAACGGTACTATAATGCAGCGCATAGTATCGTAATTTAAGTCGTTCTGTATTTGTATCGTTTCTGTAGAACGTGAACTTTATTATGTCTTCTACTGTACATAGTCACTGCCCACGCTATCACTAGCAAGGCTGATAACCTTTAAAATTAATCTCAAAATGAAGTGATGATTCGCAATTTATGTACACTATTTATTTTTATATATTTAGGTTATTGTTAGCAGTAGTTTCAACCACAAGGTGTGTTAATTTATCATTGCATCTCTAATTTAATTCATATTGTTATTATAGGACTTAAGACATAATCATGGACATAAAGCTGATATAGATATGGATGCCTATGAGATAAGATTTTTCTGTGAAAAGTTGCTAAAAGGAGCAGTGAACATTGTTGAGGTATAAGATAATGATTGAAAAAATTTGAATTGCAGCTGTTTTTTTATTTGTAGCTGCTATTTACAGACAATCTCTACTATACTAGTACTTACTGGTCACAGTTATTATCGTTGAGGGAAAGTTTAATAAGTGAGCAGGTCATACTCCAGTACATTGCTTTTATTAAGAGAAACATGAAGCTGATCAACAGTGGGAAGTACACAGGTACTGTAAAGGAAAGAAAGTCCTTTTATCAAGTATTTCACAAGTTGCTGTCCCTGGAGAGTTTTGTAGTAGGAGGGAATCCAGTGGTCACTTGTACTGGTAGTGATAGAGACTATTTGATGAAGATTCGCCATGAACCTCTGGAAGTAAGTGAATATATTGTACAATGTGCAGAGCTAGGCAGTTTGCATTGCATGCTTCTCAATACAACACTGATATGGGGCAGCAGTTTTAATGTTACCATCCAAGGATGGTTTAATAAGTAAATATGTAACTCCAATTGATTGTCAAATTAACAATGTCTTAAAATACAGGGTGATTTTGATAGAGCTCTTCTCTATTTTGAGGCACAGAGGAGGCTTGGGCTAGCTTGTGATCAGCTGCTTGGCAGAGTAAAGAGATTTCAGGAGTATGGAGACTATCGCATATTGCAAATGTGGCTGCTAATGGTTAGAGGTATCTCTTTAAAGGAGCCACTGAAGATGGTCACACCTCCTATTTAAATTTGTTCATCAAAGATGGGTCCCATTGTACTGAGAATATGGGCGTGATTCGGAAGCTGCAATAGATGTGCTGTTTGTACACATGTTATATCCATTGCTTTTGCTGTCACAACCAGGCATTAATCATTCTTTCTAAATATTTTGCTAAACTTATGATTTCATTTTGTCTATTGTGTTATTGCTGAATTAAAAACATTAAAAAGTGAATTAAAATTATGACTTCACGCATGCACTATGAAATGAAAGCAGCAGACATTTACAATGAATGTTTTATGTCCTGTTCAATAGCAAGAACCACTACCCCAGTACAGGCCATGGTGGGGCATTGTAGGGATTTCAAATCAATTAACAGAATCACCACCTCTGGGGCCATCCGCTTGAGTCTAACCTCCTACTAAAGACCCTATTAAACTACTGTGCAACTGCTACTGAACCATCTGGGTCCTGAACTTTCACCTGTAGATGTCATAGGAGGGAATATTTATTCTACGTTACTTCAAAAACACCATAAGGAGCAATTGCCATCTTTATGTAGGACAGCAACTACATGTATGCATTTGGGTACACCAACATGGCTGACAACAGTAAAACACATGCTGTTAGACACAGGAACAGATCCAATGATATGCGTGGGCGCAATCTGCGCATGTGCACTGTGCAGTACTGACTAAATTGTACTTTAATTTATAATGTTCATAACTCAAACAAAAATGTAAAAAACAATTCAAACTTGAAGAAATGCTTGTTTAGCCACACATTTGATTTCAGGTTCCTCTGTTGAGTCTACAAGGAATAAGCAATATTAATAATAAATGTAAAAAGTACATGTACTTTGCATTAATGTTTACAAAGAACTTTGTAGCCTATTTTCATCTCTAAAAATAATCGGACAGGAATGCCATTCTACAGATAACAAAAACAAAATATATACAGCAAAAATAGTTTTTACTGACCTGGAAATATACTGGTGTCACATAAGTAGTGCCAAGGGAAATAAAGAGTTGATAATATATTATTAAGTTACATATTCTTGAGTAGTAGTAAAAGTAGAAACAAAAAAATCCAGAAATGGAAAGAAACCAGATCAGAAACATAAAGAAGGGACTCCGAACATAAGTAGGAGACTCCTAACATAACTAGTGATGTCAAAAGTGTGGCAACTTTCATTGTTTAAATTTAAAACTATATGTTTGTTTTCAATGCAGATTGTAAATCATTTCATTGCAACTAGATCTAGATGCAGTATAATCTATTCTATGACAAATGACTGAAGGCTTTTGATATCATTACTGAAATCTCGTACATTCAAAGTTTAAAATTATTACATTTAAAAATAGTTATTTTTACTTTATAAACAGTTAAACATTGCAACAAATAAAGATTGAATGGAATAGAAGAACAAGAGGACTGATCCTCGGGAAGTTATGGTGTATAGAGCTGTTGCACGGATGTAATCAACGGGATAGGCGGAGCTTCCTGTCGGCCATCTTGAGTGGCAAGAATGTACACGCAACGAATGGAGGAATGGAAACAAACTGCGATTTTTCATCAAAGAGATATCATACTTCGCTGCAGAATATTATAGAGACTTCTTTACTCAATATCTTTATCTCCTACCTTGCATTAGCCTGGAATGTCAACTGCAGAATTTATTTGAATTTTTTTCTCCATTCCCCCATTCATTCTTGGCCTTCTTGCCACCCAACATGGCGGACAATTTAGCTCAATTTTAGCCACACCCTCCCGTTGATTACTTCCGTGCAACAGCTCTATATTCTGAATTCTTGGGAGTTGATCCGCATTCTAGGCACACGCCCGTGCACGTTCTGCGCGTTCACGTACAGAAGCCGAAAGCGACATTCCCGTTCACGTTTACAATTCACATTTCGCGTTCTCGTTCACATTTGGATACTCACTGTGACACATACACGCCCACACGGCATGAGGCGTGGTATAAGGTGTGGTCATTATACAGAATAATAGTGATGGGCGAATCCAGAAATTTGCATTCGATTCCGATTCTGAATACTTCTGAGACTGGAATCGATGGAATCGAATACCGATTCCGAGACTACATCTGCGCATGCGCAAGGCCACGTGGTATCAATTACAGCAATAATTAAGGTATTAACTACTGATTTATTAACTATTATTAATATTAAAAGGTGTGGTTGGGTGTGGTTTAACTCGGAATCGTTTCAAACGATTCCTACTTCTCTTTCGATACGAGTACGATTCCATTCGGAATCGAAGGATCGAATACTCCGGACTCGGAATCGCCCATCACTACAGAATAAAGATGGATGACAGTGTAAATGATTTGATTATGGAGTTAAAGAGACTAAATTGTACTTCTAGGGAGATTCAAAGTTTTATTCGTCCCATCAAAGAACTGAGGTGAATAAAATAGTATGGTTGATCAAATTATAATGTAATAACAGTATGAGACATATTCAAAGAATTTTGCAGAAATCAGGTTTTGGAAGACGTAGAAGAGATTCTTTGCAAGATGTTATAGCTGCAATCCATGTACGTTATATATTTTCAATACATTTATACCTTATTTTTTTAGAATGAATTAAATGGGCCTGGAAGTTTGCTTGGTTATAGATCATTATGGCACAGACTGAAAAGGAAATACAATCTTTCAGTTTCAAGGTACAATAAGCCTTGATTAACAATTATTCTTAAAAATGTATAGAGACTGTGTAATGATATTGCTATCAGTAATTGCTCCGGAAGGGACTAAAGTAAGAAAATCCAGAAGGCTACAACGTCGGATCTACCTAAATAAGGGGCCAAACTATTTGTGGCATATTGATGGATACGATAAACTTAAGCCATATGGCATAACAATTCATGGTTGTGTTGATGGGTAATATAATAGCTAATAATTATTGTAATAATGATG